TGTGGTATGTATATGTGTGTGTGTGTGTATATATATATATATATATATATATATATATATATATACACACATTTTTAATGTACTTCAAACCGTAGTCTCTAACCCTGACACAAAGAAATAAAAAAATTAAAGTAAAAATTATTCTTTTATTCATTCTTATTAGTGCATTAATCATTGCCTTTAAAAATTTTCTGATATATAAAGTCAACACAATCAGCAGAGTAATGATTATTTATCAAATACGTACTTATTCTGGAAGACACTTTTAAGACAAAAGCTACAAAAACTATGTTAAACTCTACTACATAATTTTTACTTTATTATTTATAAGGTAAATAATCTTTGTTTTATCTCATTTTTAAAATATTCCTTTATTAACAGAGTACATTTCTAAACATGAAACTACATATGAACACAATGTAAAATACCCTCAAAATTTATGTAAATTAGCCATTGTTTAGAAAGTATTTGATTTCAAATATCTCTTTACATTTGATTTAGTTAGCATATCATCAAATTAAATCCTTTTGTTTTGGGATTTAGATTAACTGAATAAAAAACCACTCAGGTATGTATGTATGTGTGTGCGTGTGTGTGTGTGTGTATGCATGGATATGTACGTACATATGTGTGTATATATATATATATATATACACATATATAGATATAGATATCATTGTTCTTTTATAAAACATCATAATTGTAGTGGCTGAACTCTTGCTCAAAATTTGTAATATTTTGAAACATTTAAATAGAATTCTATTCTAAATGTCCATAAACTATGAGACCTTTTAAATCCTCTATTAATGCTTGAAAAATTCTGGCCAAACAAGGGCAAGGCTGAATTATTGCCTAAAAAGAGTGAAAAGAAATGTTTGGTTGGTCCCATTATGTTGAGACCTTTTAACATATTCACTTAAAAGAATTAGGTAAAAATAGTTACATGGATAGATAAAAAAAATATTTTTCACATTTATTTCTTTACCCTGAATATATAGAATCAACTTATCTATTTTCTTCAATTGTTCTCACTTTAAACACTGAGTAGATTCTTCTTGACATAATAGTCTAAAGACGCAGTAAGATCTCTGATTTTTAAGATTTATGACTTTCCCTGGCACACCAGAAGCCTAGCTCTGTGGAATAACTAGATAATCTCTAAACCAAATAAAGTTAGGAAGGATTGCGTCTCCAAAACTGTTAGAGCAGCTATAGAAAATAAAAACTAATAGTGTAGACAGAGTAGTGGCATGCAGATTTTTTTATATAAGAAATACGAAAATTCTTTTGAAGGATTTTTCCCCCAGAAGTTAAAATACCATTATGAACAATGTCCTCCGAGATGAGGAGTGTTTAGCAAAATGGGCTGAGTGGCATTCATGCAAGATTTTCCTAGGAAACTCATTGATTATGAATATCATGCAGTAAATGTTCACTGTTTTCTTAGTCTCCTCAGTTCCCACATGGCTGCTCAGGAACATGATTGGGACTTCTTGGATTTGTGCATTTGGGCACCTATAATACATCATGTCACTGCAAAACTCCACTTTGGAATCAACTCTAGCTCCATATTTTCAACTAATTGATATGATATCCATCCTATTAGAAATAGTTGATATTCCATTACCAGATTTTGAGTTAAGGCATGAGTTCATATTGCGCGTGCAAAGTAGACAGCTATGAATGCCAACACTTATGAAATACTTCCATTAAATTCATTTGTTCAAAATGACAAATGCTGTCTTAGAAGAATGTATCACATACAGAAAATTATGTGTACATATGTAATTTTTTTCCTTGACATATTTTTTCAATAGTTCATTTTTAGAAGTATTTATTTTTTATTATATCGTTATTTAAAATTTGATCAGAAAGAGAGAGAAAGAGAAAGTGAGAAAACAAGCTGCTAAGTCTGGGATTCAAAACATGGTCGGCCATGTGAGAGTCTAGCATCTCAACCATCATGCAACCTGCTGGCCCTGAACAGTTTGTTTTTATTTATTATTAAATTTATTTATTTTTGTATATATATATATTCAATCGCATTGTTTAGCTTAAAATGTGAACATTCCAATATTTGAACATTTCTCTCCAGTCCCGTTGATCAAAATATCTTCAACCGATAACACCACACTTCTCCATCCCGTCAATGCTCTACCTCTGAATCCCTTCTCCAAATAGGGTGAAGCTATTTCTACCACAAGACTATTTACACTTTCATTTTCATCAATTAATTTTGATGCAATCACAGGACCTACACAAGATATTTATTTGAAGAGCTTCCCTACCTTAAGTTTCCTTACAGCATCTCTCACAACTTCTGTTCCCTTCGGCTGCTCCACTTCTGTACTGCCGAGAAACTGAAAATGGTCATTTGTAAGACAGGCTTCACAATATCACATATCACTAAATCATTTTGAACTATAAGATTACAAAACAGACTGGTTTGCAAATAATGCTAACCCAAGTCCTACTTAAATAGAAGAATAAATAAAATATAAATAAATGTCTTGGCCATTTACAGCTCCTATTATTCAAAATTTTTAAAAACACTTTTCATAATATTTTACTTGCAGATTTTTCTGGAAAGGAGGCTAAATTTGTTTCACTGCACCCAAGGGAATAAAGTTGATCTCAATAGTTAACACAGTGGGACCAGCAATTACCGTAATGGCTATGTCGCTGGACTCCCATGTAGTCGACCGTGGTTCAAGTCCTGGACCTGGTAGCTTAAACTCATGCCGGGCGCATGTGCGTACATGCCCAAGATCCTGAGAGAAGAATGGAAGAGAAGGGATTGCGGCATGACCATCCCCCCTGAGGGGTGATTTCTCACTTTCTGTCTCTCATCTCTCTCTGTCTTTCCGGTGAGCGCACGTGCCCTATAGCAAAAACCTCTTAAAAAAAAAATAGTTAACACAGTAATAAAACAGTTAGTGAACATATTAACATTTTAAAAATTACCTGTAAAATCAAAATTCATTTACATGGTTTTTATTTACTACAATTTTTAAACTTCAATAGTACATTTTATAGTTTATAATTTCAAATCAATGTTTTTCTTTGTTTTTCAATTATGAAACTTTAATGAATTATAAAATTGAGGCCAGTTCCATGGTCTGATGATTAAAGAGGCCAGATTCCACATGGCTGAAGTGTTCACAGTGTAAGTACCAGACCCAAAGGCTTGAGAAACAGGTCAGGCACATGCAGGTGAGTGCTAAAAATTCCCAGAGGAGGGACAAATAGAGAAGAGGGGCTTGTGATTTTACCATATCCCAAAGGGGGTTTTCTATTTTGCCTTTCTATGTCTCTTTCTGGTGAGTGCATGTGCCCCCTAGCAAAAAAAAAAAAAATGGAAAAGACAGTCTTTTTAATACCCACTATACACCATCCAGTAACTCTATTGCTAAACTAACTTAAACACACACACACACACACATAATCTACAATTTTGCTGTTTTAATAAAACCCTGAAGGTATCAATAGAGGGAATGTTTAATTGAAAACATGATCAATTCAGAAAAGGAAAAAAATTCATAATAATTAACATATTGTAAAAAATCTCTACCTGAGAAGACCTTGCATCTCTTAAACATAAGTCCAATATAAAGAAACATTCAAAACCATTAAGAGTTGAAGTATGAATGTTTTATTCTAAACAAATAAACAAACAAACAAAAAGCCTACATAACTAGCAAGTACTCATTAATTCCATGAAGAACATATAATTTCCCAAAGACTTTTTGGCTCTTGTCCCATACTACCAATTATAACACCAAAGAGAATAATGAATTCACTACTTCTTATATGTATAAGGTAGACATAAAATAGGTGGTACACTTCACATCAAATGATTAAGTTGGTCATTAAGTGGATTAAATGGATGTGTTCCTATGTGTTAATTTACAAAGTAGAAAAGAACGAAAGAGTAAAATCATGGTATCTTTTTTCTTCCTTCATTCTTAAAAAAAAAAACTAAAGTAATTAATATCACTTTTAGAAATAGGGTTTCTGGACCACTGATACAGTAATTACCCAGAAAGTAGGTTAAAATGTAGAAGTGTGGGGAACCAGCAGTTAGCGTAATGGCTATGTCGCTGGATTCCCACATGGTCAACCGCGGTTTGCGTCCTGGACCTGGTGGCTTAAAACTCACGCTGGGCACGTGTGCGTGCGTGCCCAAGATCCCGAGAGGAGAATGGAGGAGAAGGGATTGTGGCATGACCATCCGCCCTGGGGGGTGATTTCTCGCTTTCTGTCTCTATGTCTCTGTCTGTCTGGCGAGCACACACGCCCTATGGAGAAAACCTCTCAAACGGAAAAAAAAGTGAAAGTGTGGGGACTGGCAGGTGGTGTGGTGGTCATGGATGCTGGACTCCCACATGGCCAACTGCAGATTGAGCCCCAGACCTGGCAGCTTGCTTTCTCACTTTCTCTCTCTCGTCAAATTAAAATAAATAAATGAGTAAATAAGTTAAATAAAATAATAAAAAATTAAGGAATGTAAAAATGTGGATTCCTTGGTCAAACAAATTAGGATCTTCAAGGTAGGGGCAGAGAATTGTATTTCTAAAAGTATCACAGTTGATTCTTTGCACTAAAGTCTACAGAAGAGAGTTGGACATAGTTAACAGGTCACGAGGACAGTGAAAAGACAAAATAAGGGTGAGCTGAAAATAAAGGTGATAACTGGTGTCCTCCTTCTGATACACTCATGAGAAGAGAAGAAAACTCAATTTATTGAGGCCAAGATAACTTCTATTTGTCAGATTTTATAAGGTACAACTTTTCTTTTTTCTAATCTGCCTAAACTATGTCAAACAACTCTACTGGGACCTAGATAAGCTTTTACCAGAAACTCAATTTGCCTCACTGTGACCTTAGGTTGTTTGTTGACCGGGCATACATAAAAGAACATAGTACATGAGGAATTCTCGGCTTAAAAAGCATTAAAAACCTGCCACCTACATGTGGGAGACAATAAAATTTATTCTTGATGTTAAAGGATCTATTACATTTCTTCTGTTTTAAGTCAGTGTTTTCAACTTTGGCTGCATGATAGAATTACACAGGGAGTTTTAAACTTATACTAATGCCTGAGAGTCTGATTTAATTGGACTGGGACACAGCCAGGACATCTGTATATTTTAAAGCTCCTGAGGTAATTGTAATGTGCCAGCAGATTTTAATACACTGTTTTAGATCATCCAGAAAGGATAGGTTCAAGCAACAGAAGAGAACTTAACACAACAGAAAATATTTAGTTCGGAGTAAACTCGTGGGGTACACTCTTATTCTTAATTTCTCTAAGTTTATCACATCTCTGAGAGTTTCATCATTAGTGGGTGGTCAAGTACTATCACAAAGAGGGAGGATAAGGCAGATTCTTTGTGAGTAAATGATTCTTGAAGTAGAAGAAGGAAGACTCTGGCATGTCAGTAACAGACTATAAGAATCATTGCCAATGTTTTTGGAAGACTGGTCATACTTCAGTAGAATTGTCATGAGTCATAAGTATTCTATGTAAATAGGGCTATATGGGAAAATTATGGAAGAACTCAAAATATATTCCAAATGAATCAACCTCTAGCAGTGCTCCAGGAAGCTTTTAATATGTTCCTTTCACACTGGCTCTAATTAAACCATCTGAGTAATGAAACACAGGGAAAATCCTTGAATGATGATTAAAAGTAAACCAAAAGACATCTTCACATGGAGTTTGCCACTTAATCTCACTTTTTCTTATGCAATATTAGATGACTTATATGAAAGTAATTTTCAAATTTACAATATTTCCTGTATTTTTCAAATGATAAAAGTCATTACGATACTCACATCTTTAAATTCATAAATACAAATATAATCTATATGTCTATACAAAATAGTCATGAAACTCTTCAATATGATGCAGCATGCTAGACTAAGCTATAGCCTTAAACCTAAAGATGTTAAAATATAAATCTCTGCTTTATTTGACTCTTTTGAAAAATAAGGTAATAATGTTGCTTTTTTTTCCTTACAAAATTTGTGTAAAGGGATCAGCAGTTAGCATAATGGCTATGTCGCTGGACTCCCATGTGGTCAACCATGGTTCAAGTCCCGGAACTGGTGACTTAAACTCACACTGGGCACATGTGTGTGCATGCCCAAGATTCCAAGAGGAGAATGGAGGAAAAGGAATTGTGGCATGGCCATCCCCCTTGGGGTGTGATTTCTCGCTTTCTGTCTCTCTGTCTCTCTCTATCTTTCTGGCGCATGCACGTGCCCTGTGGCAAAAACCTCTCCAAAAAAAGAAAAACAATTTTTTGTGTAAGAGCAATTGTGGTAAGAGATGGAAAAAAATGATCAACTACAGAGTATTTTATAATTATAAAGGATTGCCATTCCTCTACTAAATGATTATTTGGAGAAGACACCAGGGTTTAGGGGTTATAGTTGGTAACTGTTCAGCTCTCATGTGATCTATTCTATCAGCTCAGAGCTCCGTTTTCCAGTTTCCATTGGATCTGCTGTTAACAGCTCGCACTCAAGAACTTCAGAGTATTCTCTTTGGGCAATGACGTTATCTTGCCAATGAAGTAATCTTGAAATCTAGATGCCCCTGAGAAGCTCTTCCACATACCTTAGGCAATTATTGACTTTATGCATAGGAACAAAAGTCCAATTCTTTGGCTGGAGCTGGAGTAAAAGTTAAAGTGTAATGTTATGATGTAGAGCTTCCTCAGAATCTGGCTGCGGCTGGGCTTAACCTACGTGTACTCTTCCTTAAATTCTTCCTCTGTTCTGCTCTGTTTTTCCTACTTTTATTTATTTATTTATTTTTACTGATTTTTTCTAAGAGTACTCCCTTAATAAATCATGTGTATGCAAATCTTTGCCTTAGGGTTTAATTCAAGGAGAAACTGACCTAAGATCCTGGTTAAATACTTAAATGCTTACATTCCAGGGACATAGTATTTAGTATACAGACCTACAACCAATCAAAATGCTCTGTGATTAAATGCTCTCCTAAGACTCCTAAAAAGGATATAGGTAAGACCTCGATTTTCCTATTTTTCTACTTTGCTGGAGACTGAAGGGTGGGAAAATAAAAAGATGTATTTAAATGATATCATGGTCAAAGAATTAACAGCTCACCTTCAGCAGAAGAGGGAAAAAAAAAAAACCAGGGAACTCTGGACTACAAAATGTTAAGCCAGGCTGAGAACTAAAGTGAGGCCCCTGAATGGATGAGATGCAAAACAAAAGTTCCCATGTGAGATTGAAGTCCCCTCACTTAGACCCCCAGGCTCAGTCTGGCTCCCAGCATATTGACTGCTAATCTTATAAGCCTCCAAGCAGAGAAGTTCTTCCCTAG